TTGTTTGAAATTAAGCACAGCTACACAATGGGCTATCTGTGCTCTGCCCATCACGGGTATCGAAACCCGGTTTCTAGCGTTGCAAGTCCGCAGACATACCGCTGTGCCACTTGGGGGCGATTTAACAAGGAAAATAAGATTTTGAAATATTAACAAATATAATAAAAAGAGTGTATTTTAAATATTGATGTATAATGATAGTTACTGTGTTTCTGTATATATTGCCCCTGGCATTTAACTAATATAACTATATTGCATCTGTTAAATATCTTAGATTTGCTTGTTTGTTTATTGCAAAGCTGCACAATGGGGCATTTGCGCTGTGCCCACCACAGGGATCAAACCCCAAGTTTTAGCGTTATAAGCTCTCCAGCTTACAGGTGATCCACCAGGAGGCAAGTATCTTAGAAAGATAATATATTTATGAAGAAAATGTGTTTACAGTTTGTTTGGAAATTATAAGTTAAAAATTACATTAATATTTTGCTTATGGTCATGTTGAAGATGTGAGAGCAAATAACCTACGCATTGTCACAGATGATATTTTAACTGTGGCTTTATAAATTTAATTAGTTTCACGATAATTTGCAGAGCATTGAACACTGCTCTCTGCAAATGAACTGTTAGAAATATATGTTTATGTATATATATATTACTAACAGTTGATTTCTTTCATATATATATATATACCTTTGTTGTAAATGATAAATGATCTTTTTAACTCAGAATAGTGATTACAAAAAATTGTCGACTTCGAGTGAACAACATGTCTGTGGTTCATTGGGGGCAGTAATGAAATAACAGTTTGGTAGTGCCCATTTATGCCATTTCACACACACAACTTGGGGAGGTTTAAAAGAAAGGATGGCTTATAATGTCCCATTGTCTATTCTTCGAGAAGGAAATTACAATTATATGAACCTTATTGTTGGAATAGCTACTCGGTTGCATACTGGTTTGACAAGTAGTGAAACATATAAGAACATTGAGTTAATATTGTGACTCAAATTAGAATAAAAACCACATATCAATCTTGCTAGGGAATAATGTGAATAAAATGCTCAAAGTAGTTGAGAAACATATTATTGGAAAACTATGACGGGAGAAAATACTCTCTTCCCAAACGACATTATTGTTATGTTTATTTGTTGTTAAGCGCAAATGGGCTAACTATACTCTGCCCACCGCAGGTATCGAAACTCAATTTTAAGCGTGATAAGCCCTCAGAGTTATCGCTAAGTCACCGTGGGGCACGTCAGTGGTAGTACTTTGAAAATAACATGGCACCAACTGGGAAAACTGAATACTAAATTATTAAACCGATAAATTCTATTATGGGTTGATAAACATTTTTGAACATTCACAGCATTTCAAATTCACTATTCCTTTGTCGGTATGTGAACTAGAACTTGAAAAATCGAGAAATAAATCTGAGAACTCGTATGAAGTTATAATAATAAATAAAGAATGGCTTAGGTAGTATGATATTGCTTAATGGGCTTTTCAGTGATTTTAAAATGAAATGTTAACACGTGAAAGTGAATATCTTAAAATTAAATAATTAAAAAAACAATGATACATGACATATACAACAACTAAAATATTAGTTGTTGTAAGTTTCTGTGGTATCAATGGGTGATAAAACTTTGTACTTTAAATACATGCGTTAACATAATTGAACACAAATTAATGGTAAAGTGGATAAATGAGCTAGTTATTAATGATACATAAGGCCAACGTTTGTTGATATAAAACTAATAATAAAAAATTGTCTGCAGAAGTTATTATGTTGGAAATTTACTTACATTAAATAACGATATTGATAATCACACTGTTGGAATATACTTTAGAATTGCAAACAAAGGCTTCCTTTCTTTACTAGGTATGCTGATATGGTCGAAAAATAATTCTTAAAACTGTTGTAAAAAATACGTTCGTCTGAAGTTGATTTTATTCCTTCTTTCTTCAGTTGATTATTTTCGACTAATCTCAACGAGAACAAGCGTGATATGGACAGTTTAACATTCAAGATACTACACTTTATTTGTTGTTTTAAAACTTTTTAGAACTTAATTGTGTTTTGGAGGTCTCACTGTGAATTTCAGAAATTTAACAGAAAGCTTTTGTTTGGTTTTTACAGCAACGCGTCGTTTGGTAGTATGCTGTATGTCCGCTGTCACTTAATACGGAATCAGTATCGTTACGTTTCTGTGCTTCAACGAGATAGATCTTGAAATACCTCATGCTTGTAAATTTCACGAAAATGTTGTTAGTTTACTACTAAAAATGCTAGAAACAACTTTATAAGTAGAAAAGAAAAATCCGCATCAAAATCAACTTATTACGCTCAACTCTGTGAAACTGATGAACTCCATCCCATATTAAACACGATAGTTTACTATGGCTTATCAGAAGCGTGTCGTTGTCGACAAAAATGTACAACTTACATCGGTTGTTTTTGTTGTTATTTTTACGAATAAAAACACATATTTTACAAGACTTTTAAATATTGCAAAATCTACAACAAAGCGGATGTTAAAGAAATACTTCAGCAACAAGAGTACGTCCTACATATATTATCAAAGAGAATCCTCATAAAACAGGAGAGAAAACTGTACAATTGAACTTTCATACGTTTCATATATATATATGTATGTATTACAACACTGAGCCATCAATGGTCGCTCTCTAGTCCAGCGAGAAGTACAATTTGTTATCTACAGTTATAAGGTTATTTGTTTATACATAAAAAAAAGCAAAATTTAACTTCAATAACGAAATATATAAAGTTTCGACTAAAACAAGTAAAAATTATCATTCATAACAAAAGTTTATTATGATACTAAACTTTGTCATGAAAAATTTACATAATCAATTCTTATAGACCATCTTAGAAAAAAGCAGACAGTACTATGTTTTAATTCAGATCCTTACGGCATACCTCGCAATTTCCGAACAGAAACAAAAAAATGCTTTAGTTAAAGAACGATAATATGCACAAACATACATAATGCGAATTCTGATAGATCAAGAGGCGACGTGGCGATCTGGAATGAGAATTTAACACAGGGAAAAGGTTTGTAGCAGCCGGCTCTCCATCGTCTGACGTCATTTAAGGCGCTTCCATTATAGACGCAGTACAAATAGAGGAAACAAGTCATCCGCTATTGGCAGACAAGTAACACAATGTCTGAAACAAGAAATCACAACACTGAAAAGAAAACTAATCACTAATGGCAATTTAACATTTTCTCGAACATTTGCACTTCCTGATAATCTCGACCTCAGTCCGGTACGTCTTGTGATCGGGGCATACCATCCTCACGCGTCGTTTCTTGATCCTTTTGGGCCGACAGCAGTCGTTCCCACAGGATCCCACACAACGGACCCGCTTCATCTTCTTCTTGGACCGACAGCCATTTTCCACGTAGTAAGCGCGGGTTTGTTCCTTCTGGCAAGTGGGGGCTGAGAAAGAGAGAATTAGATAAACGCAATGAAAGTTTAGTAAAATGTAAACAGAGGTTCCCACATTTAGAGGAATAAATTTTCATTTTACGTTTTCTCTTTTTTGGGGGAGGGGCAAAAGTGACCGAATGAGTTTCAACACATTTCTCTGGGTTAGTAAATAGCAGTCAGAATGGGATGAGCACTCATTTTGGTCTCTCTCCCCCATACATTTCGTTGTATCGAGTTTTTGGTAAACAACGACTCATATTAAACAGATATATTCTAAACTGAATTTGGAAACTGGACACCGAGAGCCAAAAAAGATAAAAACATTAACGTAAAAATATAATGTAATGGAAATTGGTCATTAAAAATACTTATTTTTTACATTAATTTCACTAGTTTTTTTCTTGATTTCCATTATATGTAGGTCCTCAATAAAAACAATATTAAACCCAAATTCGATGACGAGTAACCCACTTTGAGACTAATAATGGAGACGGCTCCAAGTATTATTAATATTAAACTCACTCCTTTATATTAAGATGATTAACAATGTGTGCTTCAGCCTGGCCTAGGGCCTTAGGTGAGGGGTTACTAATAATCTGACAGACCTTGGGAAACAGATCAGGCCTTTTAAAGTGTTATCATTAGGATACACTGAAGTCAGTATTATAAAATATATTATATTATAAACATAAGTTGTTAAAAAAATTATAGTTTGAAATTTGGCATGTTTATAAGACTTAATAATTATGAAACTTCAGTTGAAATGACTCAAGTAAATCTGTAGGCTGTATGATACAATGATGACACTTTTAACCCTTCCTCGTTTATAGGCAAAAAAAACTCTCCCAGTGCTGGGTATATTTTATATAGTCAGTAAAAAAGAAAAAGACTTATGGCGAATATAGTATAGTTTGAATATTATTATACACTCTTCTAATTCTTGAAACTTTCTAAGAGACTAAGTAAATAATGAAGTGTTTAAAAATGTAATAGGCCTAATACTAATATCTTATGACAAGTACAATTATAAGTATAATCATGCTTCGCCAGCTTGTAAAAGGCGTTCACACTGTAACGTTTTAATATTTCATTACTTATGTGAAACTTGAAACTGTGAGAATTTTGAAGGGGAATATCCTACCCTTTCGTCATGGTGTTACAAAATGTCCACGACAGTGCTCTAGAAGGGGATGTGTAAGTGTCCACGGCAGTGAAAGAGTTAATGGACAGAAATGTGTAATCTCACTTGAGTCAAGCGTGCTTATAATGACCTATTATTAGTAGGCAAACGTTCAATTCAGGAGCGTGCGAATGTGCTGCTGTTATGATTTCTACAAATGTTGCTGTTGATCTACAAAAGTTGAAAGCAATCTTACTTGAACCTAATAGTAAAACCTATCTTCACGCATGCGCAATAACGACGTATGGTAATCGTTATTTGATTAATTCTAACATAATTAGTCAGTACAAGTTGATTGTGTTACATCGTTTCGTACCTTTTATATTGAGTATTAGGCAAACGTTTTCTTTAATTTTTTGTTTTTGCTAAAGTTTGTTTTAAAGACTCAAGCTAGCATATCGTTTTATATAATACATTATGTTGCAGAGAGCTGTAAGACTATACGGTATTCGTATAACATTTTTCAGGGGGTAATAACAAGTTCAAATTCACCTTGATCACAGAACTGCCCGCTCCAACCACGGTAACATTTACAGTGGTAGCTGTAGGAATCTTTAGGCATACATTTGCCCTTTTCACATCGTTGATATTTACACGGATCCGGAGCGTCGAATTCTTTACAACCCGGAGAAACACTTCGTTGCTTTTTGGCCACCATGATGTCCAGATGTTTAGCATTCACGTAGATTTCCTTCATGCAACCTGAAGATTAAAATATACCCAAAATAAATCTTTAAAAACTCTATGAAACCATTAATATGTTGTTGGCTTTGTAAAAGTAAGAAATATAATTTCATAAATGCGAAGATTATTCAGTCTGATATTTTTCCAAGCCTTAGAGCCCTACAGTGAAATAGCGGTAAGCTAAAATCAGGGGTTCGATTACCGGTAGTGTACAAAGCCTGTTACGTACATTTGCTCTAAAACAAGCAAGTCCTACGCTCCAGATGGAATGAAAAGTATATTAATAACAAACATTTCGTTAGTCATAATTTATCTTGTAATAATTTGACATAATGATGAAACAAATGATACCGAAATACTTTAAACAAAGTATTTATAGTCATAATATTATGCAAAAGTTGATCTGAATATTATATATGATAGGACTAAGATGCATTTAGTAAATGTTATTAAATAAAATTCGGCACTTTCCTGAAAAAAAATTAATAGTACAACTTACTCATTAATCTTCCAGCAGACTTATAATGAAAAATAATTTCATTTGATCATACGACAAACTCTACTGAACACTGCAATTGACGAATATAATAGTTGTAATATATATATGGAGTATGTTTGTTGTTAAATGCAAAGCTACACAATGAACTATTTGTGATCTGCTCAACACGGATGTCGATAAACCCAGTTTTTAAGAGTTATAAACCCTCGAACTTATCGCTGAGCCATCGGGGAGCCACATAAATCCCATTTTTAGTGAGAACTACAACTGTTTAAAGCCATCTGGTGGCTAAGTGGTAAGTCTAAGGACTTATAATGCTAAAATCGAGGTTCAATACTCGTGATGGGTACAGCACAGATAGCCCATTGTGTAAATTTGCGCCTAACAACAACAACAACAACAAAAAACAACTATTTGAAATCACAGGAAATGTAATATTTAATACATTACGCTACCTAATTTTCAATGAGAACTACAATCGCCAAGACCCCATAAATTTAAAATATATTGTTACTATGGTGTACTCATACCTATTTGTAATGTTTTCTGTGTTACATCACTTTCTTTTCAGTGAGAACTACAGCTATTAAAGACACAAATAACATAAATATCTTATCAGTTATATGCAATAATTTATGAGCCGCTTGTGGCCTAGTGGTTAGCGTTCAGGGCTATGGATTAGAAGGTTTGAGTTCCAGATAATATGAATATTTGAATATGTTTCACATTTCTAGCCGTGGGCGCTTTATAAAAATGATTGTTAATCCCGTTATTCGGTTTAAAGTAGTGGTGTAGACGGCAGGTACTGTTGACTGGTGTTCCTCTGGTGCCTGTTAGGTTGAAATTACTAAATACCTTAATTTCTGCTTAGCACAACAGTTGTTAAAAATTAAAAGTACCACAATAATTACTATATTACAATTATCTAATTTACAGTATCAACTTCGATTCTTAATAAAAACACAAATAACCAAACATCCCAGTAAAACCATGATTACCTACAAAAATATTTTCGTTCTTATCTTTTATTTTCACTCAAAATAGGCAAAAAATACCTTAAAACCTACATTTTAAACCAAAAACATTGCCGCAAAATTTTAAATATTATAGTCATGATATTACCATAGTTATCAGATCCATGGAAATACAACAGATGCAGGGAATTAATCCAAACATTACTATCAGAACTTCCATGGTAAAGTAACGGGTTTCTTCGTGTAAATTTGACAGATGCGTATAGAAATTCACATTTATTATTAGTGAACTATGAATTATCTATATATATATTTAACTCTATATTTTGGTTTGTGAAACCACTATTTGCTTAGTATTTCTAGAAAAATGAATTTAAAAAATCTATTTTTGCAGTGGCCACTGAAAGGTTTGATAACAAAATTTTACTTAGTTATACCACAACTGGGCAGTAAAAGAGTCACAAACCTCAATTAACGTAATATTTACTATGATACATTACCCTAATTTCCGGTTAGAACTATTTTGTAATTATATTAAGTTATAGTATGTATAATGACGAGAAACAAAATTATCGTCATCACTTCTTCGTGTTTTTTAATAATAATAATATAAAATCATACAAATAGCTAAAACAGATGCATGCATTTTCCAACATATTTTTATACATACGAAATATAAAGAAACAACAGCAAAAGAAAGATTACTTCATAACAAAGTTGAATAACAGATGGCAGTGTTGAGCATTTTACTTAACTTCTATGCGAACATTCGGTGTATTCCAACAGTAGGGCTAAGACCTAAATCATTGAATACTTTACACTATAAGAAATATTAAATGTAAACTATTCATAAGCCATGGGAGGGTAAGGTAAACTTTTCTAATTTGACGTTTTAAACTTAAAGAAAGTTTGGTGTAAATCATTTACTTCTGTTAAACTAACAAGTCTGAAACTTCATACAAATAAAATGCTTATCTATAAAATTACTTTCAAAACTAGAAACATTGCATATCCCCGGCTAATGGAACTATGCCGTATATACTTACGATTTAATCAAGACATGCTTTGTTTCCCATGTGAATAGATTTATAGAATACACTTGCCTTGTAAACTAGGCATGTTTTGTATTCAAAGTGAGCACAGCTATGATGTACACTTACATCTAAACTTGATGTTTTGCCAAGTGAATAGAGATCTGATGTTCACTTACTTTCTAAACTCGACGTACTTTGTGTTCCATGTGAATACAGAAATGGTGGATACTTGTCTTCTAAGCTACAAATATTTCATGTCTAAAGTAAATAGAGCGTTGGTGAACACTTACCTTCTAAACTAGAGGTCATGTAGTGTCCAAAGTAAATAGAACTTTGATGAACACTTACCTTCTAAACTAGAGGATATGTAGTGTTCGAAGTAAAAGAACTTTGATGAACACTTATCTTCTAAACTAGAGGATATGTAATGTCCGAAGTAAAAGAACTTTGATGAACACTTACCTTCTAAACTGGAGGTAATGTAGTGTCCGAAGTAAGCAGAACTTTGATAAACACTTACCTTCTAAACTAGAGGTCATGTAGTGTCCGAAGTAAATATAACTCTTACCTTCTAAGATAGAGGTCATGTAGTGCCCAAAGTAAATAGAACTTTAGTGAACACTTACCTTCTAAAATGGAGGTTATTTTGCGTCTAGAGTAAATATAACTTTGATGAACACTTACCTTCTAAATTAGAGGTCATGTAGTGTTCAAAGTAAACAGAACTTTGATGAACTAAAGGATATGTAGTATCCAAAGTAAATATAACTTTGATGAACACATACCTTCTAAACTAGAGGATATGTAGTGTCCAAAGTAAATAGAACTTTGGTGTACACTTATCTTCTAAACTAGAGGTCATGTAGTGTCCAAAGTAAATATAACTTTGGTGTACACTTATTATCTAAACTAGAGGATATGTACTGTCCGAAGTAAATAGAACT